GGATAGAGAGCATCGGCCTGTGGACGGAAGGGTCCCAGGTTCGAATCCCAGCAAGGGCATCTACCTTGGTTGTGGGCACATCCCCAAAGGGGTGTGCAGGAGGCAGCTGATCGATGTTTCTCTCTCATTGATATTTCTGGCTTTCTCACTCCTTTCCTCTCTGTAAAAAAAAAAAAATCAATAAAATATAGGGAAAAAAATTCTCCTGACTTCATTCGGTGTGGCTGGCCTTAGGGAGTCCCTTCACAGATTCTGAGGATTGAGTAAGTGTATGTGCACGCGCGTAGGGTGTGTGTGGTAAACCAGCAAGCATGTCCGCCCCCTTACCTCCGTTTCCCCACCTGAGTCATGGGCACGAGAGATGCTCCCATACCAAGGGCTGCTGGGGGGTGGGGGACTCCAGAGATGCTATCCAGGCTCCCTGGCACCGGGTGGGTCCCAGGCAGGTGGTAATTATGCGGTGATGTGTCCACAGGCTGGCCTGGGGTTTGGCCTGAGGTTGACTGGGGTGGGTGCCCCTGGTCCTCGGCACACTCCCATCTAATCCCCAGCCATCTTGGAGCTGGGTCCTGAGCAGGCAGCTGGGCAGGACGGCACCCGCCTAGCTTAGTGAGCCCTGGCCCTGGGTGCCCAGGCTGGCCTCTCTGGGCCTCCGTTTCCCCATCTATGGAGTCAGGGGCATCTGCCAGAGCCCTGGGGAGACGTTGCAAGAGGAAGCCTGCGGCTGCCAGGACTTCCCACCCCCCACCCCCACCCCCGGTCAGGTTAGGCAGACACAGCCTTCCCACACGGGAAAGTGTCATTCTTCGTCCCCAGGGGACCCTGGGAGAGGGTCCAAGGGAGGCAAGAGGGTAAGACTTCAAGAACTCTTCCTCAAACCCAAGGGGGGAATTCCTTCCATTGTGACTGACTGGAATTCGGGGGAAGGCATGGGACTCCGCCCACTGCACTTGACCATCACTTAGGATTCAGGAAGAGGTTAGTCTAAGTGCCTTCAGCAGGCTGTCCCCAGGACCCCTAACATCTGCCCAATCTCAGGACTGGCTGTGGGATCAGGTCTGAGAGAGGGCCCTTGATAGCATGATCTCCCCTCCCTCCCTCCCTCCCTCCTCCACTTCCTCTCTCCTTCTCTCCCTTCTGGAACTCCTGGCCTCCGGCAGTGAGGGGTGGCAAAGTGGGCCTTTTGTCTCCACAGCTGGCCCTCACCTCCCCCTATTGAGCCCCAGCTGACAGCCTAAAGCTGCAGGGGGGGACTATAAGGCCCTCGAAATCATCTGGCCTGGTCCTGCCGAGGCATTGGGGGGAGTTAATTAAATGTCTGACCAAACACAGCGGGCTAACGTTTAGGTTGATATGATCATTTTGTTTGGGCCGGGAGTGATGTTATAAATATGCCAGTAGCTCCTGGCAGAAGAAAGGTTCCCCACCTGGAAAGGGACAAGCCCACCCCAGAGGCCAGGGTGGCACTCTCACCTCCCTCTCCCTTCTCCGATGTGGGGAGGAAGGTGCAAACCCAGCTCAGCCACCACCATGCTCGGGGACAAGCTGTTTCCCCAGCCTCACCTGTGGCCGAGGGGAACTCATATCTACGTGGAGAGGCTGTTCGGCGTGTCATAAAGAACCTGCCACCCTGACCGGTTTAGCTCAGTGGATAGAGCATCAGCCTGCGGACTGAAGGGTCCCAGGTTCGATTCCGGTCAAAGGCATGTACCTTGGTTGTGGGCACATCCCCAGTAGGGGGTGTGCAGGAGGCAGCTGATTGGTGTTTTGCTCTCATCAATGTTTCTAACTCTCTCTCCTTCTCCCTTCCTCTCTGTAAAAAATCAATAAAATATATTATTTAAAAAAAAAAAAAAAAAAGAAGAACCTGCCAAGGGCCTGACACATAGTAGGTATTCAATACATTGTAGGAGTGATGCTCTCCTTAGGATGGGGTCTTCTGGGCCCAGGACACCTCTGTGGTGTGGGAGTCTGGCCGCACCGTGTGAGGTCTCCATCCCCAGTGTTCTATCGGAGGTCATTAACCTTCTACCCATTTTACTACAGATGCTGTGACTGAGGAGGCGCTGGGCGGGGCGCTGGGTGTGGGGGAAGGAGATAGATGTGGAGGAGGCAAGGGCGTCTGGGCTGGGTGGGGTTGGGAGAATGGGCTGGAGGGCCCCAGAGGGGCCATGCTGGGACTTGCTGGGACTCTGTCTCACCGGTTTGGGGAGCTGGCCCGACACTGGGGAGAGGCTGGCATTAGAGAAAGACAGGAGGGGCTGGCGCTGCCTGCTGCCTGGGAACGAGGAGCCGAGATGGCACACTGGCTGGACTGGCCTGGGCGGAGAGCCTGTCTGTGCCAAGAGAGAGGCCAGGCTTCTGCTCCCAGTGGATACCCTCCACACACACACACACACACACCCACACACACACACACTCACACTCACACACACACTCACACACACACACACACACACACTCTGCCCCATCACCACAGGCTCAGAGACGCCACTCTCAGATGCACACTTGCACACACACATCAACACACTTCTTGAACTGCAACCGCTCCATCCTCCCCATCCTCTGACCCAGCTCTATTTTCCTATCTTAGTTATCTACAATTTTTATAACACATAGCAGGGCTTCCTGCCCATCTCCCGCTGGAATGCAGGCCCCACCAAGGCAGGGTGCTTGGCCTTCTGTGCCCATAGTGAATGCCCAGCACCCATGGGTGCTCGATAAATACGTTCTGTCCTGGCCGGTTTGGCTCAGTGGATAGAGTGTCGACCTGTGGACTCAAGGGTCCTGGGTTTGATTCTAGTCAAGGGTGCATGCCTGGGTCGTGGGCTCGATCCCCAGTAGAGGGTGTGCAGGAGGCAGTCAATCCAATTGGTGGTTCTCTGTCCTCATTGATGTTTCTATCTCTCTCTTCCTCTTCTTTCCTCTCTGAAATCAAGAAAAAATATATTTAAAAATAAGTAAATAAACATGCCTGAGTGAGTGAGCGAGGGAACCCCCTAGAATTATATTCACAAATGCACAGGGACCCATGTGGAGACCCCTCCACGACATCGCCCTGGACGGACATTCCGGCACACGCACCCAGGCACCCGCTCACACCCAGCCTCGCACGCCCACACCACACACAAGCATAGACCTTCGCACCCCCGCACACCAGCACTTTCAGACTCACACCCACCCTCTGGATTCCAAGGCTCCTAATCACACCGGCCAGCAGGCTCCAGCACATCCCGCTCCGCACCCTCCGCGGTGCCAGCCCCGGAGGGCAGCCCCTCCCAGCAACAGGGGGCGGAGCCCTGGTGGAGGCAGCCTGAAAGGGGTGGGGCTGGGCCGGGCCACCCTGGCACCTGGGAGTTCTCAGGAGACGCTAACTACCGCTACCACTGCAGACTCACCTCGGAGGAGTGAGGTCACCTTCGCCCTCGACCCCACCCATGTGCCTGCCAGACTCAAACTGGCCTTCTCACCCTCGTCATTGATAAAGGGCCAGGGAAGGGGTTTGGGATGGGACATGGGGTTCTCCTGGGCACAGAGATGGGCGGGGCCCAGGCCCAGCCACCTGGCACATGTGGGGAGCAGGGGTGTGGAAGGTGAGAACCAGGTTCCCAGCCCCAGCTCCACCCTACAGTGAGAGAGAAGGCTCCTCCACCACCACCCTGCCCCTCAGAGGCCAGACACGTGGGCAGTGGGCAGAACTGTCAGCTGGCAGGCCCTGGCCCATGGCCCTTCCCAGAGATCCCCTGTGTCCCCACTTTCCCGCTGTGAAACCTGGAGATCACAGGTGAGTCACAGGTCTGGGCGACAGCCACCAGACTCGGCTCTCACCCCCACATCTCCGGATCCTCTGCCCCCCCAAAGCCAATGTAAGATGGGGCAGGCCACCACAGCCACCACCAAGTTGCCCTGCTGGCACTGAGATGGGGCCCCAATCCCTTGGAGAACGGGCAGAGCCGGCAGGGCATGCTCACTCTGACTTCAAGGAACCTGGGTCGATGCCTGAAAAGTGAAAACCGGACTTAAACGTCCTCGGCCCCTTCTCCTCCTCACTCACCACACGTCCCCAGGGAAGCCATGCTGAACTAGGAAAACACAGGACGTCCCATCTTAGAAACCTGAAACCACCATCCTCCCAGGACGCAGGGCAGGAACTGCGTCCTCGCGCCCCCTGGCGGTGGGTTGCAATCACAGCAGCTGCTCCTCAGGGTCACAAACACCCAGGGTCCAGAGGCCAGACTGCGCCTCCTCACCCGCCTCCCTCCGCATTTGCAGGTGAGGGGAGATGGGCGCAGAGGCCCAGAGAGAAGGACCTGCACCCTCACCGCTCAGCTCTTGGGAGAATGGACCCCAGGTCTTGTAACGTTTTCGTTGTTGGTGTTGTTAATCCTCACCTGAGGATATTTTCCCATTGATTTTTTTTTTTTTTTTTTTTTGAGAGGAGAGAGAAAGACAGAGAAACATCGATGTGAGAGAGACACATTGATGGGTTGCCTCCTGCATGGGCCCGACCAGCGCCTGGGCCGGGGAGGACCCTGCAAGCAAGGTACATGCCCTTGACCGGACTTGAACCCAGGACCCTTTGGTCGGCAGCCGACGCTCTATCCACTGAGCCAAACCAGCTGGGGCCAGGCCTTGCAATTCCTTCAACAAGAAACGTTTATTGAGCACCGTGGCCAGTGTGCCAGGCACCGCCGGACTCCTGGGCCAGCGCCCTCCACTAGCTCTGAAATTCAGGCCGAGGCCCGACCGGAGACGCTGGCATCGCCTCCTCCAGGGGAGGAAGGAGCAGCTGCAGCACCGCCCTCCTGGGGTCCAGAGACCGGCGAGGAGGCAGGGGGGCCGGGAGCCACGCTCTCGGGTGGGACAGGATGGGGCCTGGCCAGCTATGTCCATTCTACACTTTTAATAAATAGTCTTGCTGCTGCCCAGGCTGGTGAAGGTGGTCCCATGGGGCCCAGGCTCCCCAAGTTCTTATGTGAGGTGTAGGGGCGGCCCTCTTCTCATGCTAGCTCAGGCTCCGGCTCTGCAGAGAGAGAGAGAGAGAGAGAGAGAGAGAGAGAGAGAGAGCGAGCGAGTGCTGGGCTGAGCCCCCGCCCCTCCCAACAGGTGTCTGGGTGCTAGTCTACGGGGCGGTGGGGCAGGCAGGCGCGAGGTTCCCCAGGAACAGGGGACCCCTGATCCCAGGAAGGATGCCCCCTCCTATAGAGGTTGCCAACAGACAGGAAGCCCCCAGAGGAGGGGGGGGTCCCAGCATCCACCATACACCCCATCCCCCCGCCTCTGTAGCCCAGTGCCTGGACCCCTCCGTCCCCAACCTCCCCCCCGGGCTGCACCCCCACCCCCATCACGGCTAAGTCACTGACCAGCCTCAGCCTCGTCACCCTTGGCGTCCAGCTCCTGCCACCAGTCGGCGTAGATGCCCTCCTCGTAGTCCCCCTCCCCCTCAAACTCGGCGTCGGAGGGGTGGTCCTCGGGCTCCACGGGCGGTCCCGTCTCCTCCAGCTCCATCTAGAAAGCCCCAGGGCGGGGACAGCCGGGCCACAGAAGGCACAGGCCGGGGTCAGTGCCGGTCCTGGCCACGGGGCCCGCCCACCCCATCCGGCTCAGGATCTCACACGGGGATGATAGGAGGGTTTCTCCTACCGTCCTGTTCCCCAGCTGCCCCCTCCCTGCACTGGCACCACCAGCAGAGTCAGGGCTAGCAGACGCTTCCCCCTCTCTGCAGCCTCCTGCTAAGTATAAAAACCCGAGGATGCTGCTAGCCCGTGCACACCGCCTGCCCGTGCTGCTCCCATCCAGGAACTGGGTCTGCCGGTGCCATCCCCGTGCGGGCAGTGGCCTTGTTCATCCCTCCAGCGCCAGGCATCGGCTCCAGGATGCAGCCTTCGATGTGACCCTGGCCGGGCCAGGCGTCCTCTGGTGCCCCCTGCTGGCCTCTCCCACAGGGAGCGGGATCTGTGCCTCCCCCAGCTGCTGGGGAAAGGGGCTGTGCCTTCCATCCACTGAGCCCAGGCCCAAACCCGGTGTCTGGCAAACAGCAATCAGCTGCTACCTGCTGAGCACCTACTACCCACGTGCCAGCTCTGGACTAAGTGCCTTACAGACCTGATCTCGTGTCACTGTCACCGCGTGGGGTGAGGGGGCCATTGTCCCTCCCGCTCAGAGGATGAAGAGATGAACGTTGCAGAGTTACCTAAGACCTGCCCGGAGGGGGCCCACTGGGGAAGTGGAGGGCCACGTCTGACCAGCGCCAACGTGGTTACTCAGAGTGTAGACCCGGCCCCGCGTCCCACTTGGGGGCACGGTGCTTGAACCAAGCGGGGAGTGGATAAAGAAGCCCTGAGCGCCCTAACCGGTTTGGCTCAGTGGATAGAGCGTTGGCCTGCAGACTGAAAGGTCCCAGGTTCGATTCCGGTCAAGGGCATGCACCTCGGTTGCAGGCACATCCCCAGCAGGGGGTGTGCAGGAGGCAGCTGATCGATGTTTCTATCTCATCTGTTTCTAACTCTCCATCCCTCTCTGTAAAAAAAACAATAAAGTATTTTTTTTTAAAAAGAAGACACCTGAGAGCATTCACCCTTAAACCCTCATTCAGAATCAGCGTAACACGCTGTGGTCCTCCCTTCCTGGTGTCCTGCACGCCTTCCTTCATTCCCTGGTTCATTCGAACTCAGTTTCTGGGCGCCAGCTCTGCTGTCCCAGGCGCTGGGGGGGGGGGGGGGGGCTGGGAGTAACCTGGTCCCCCATCCTGGGTCACAGCCCCTAGGAGACTGGCTGGAGAGGGGGCTGGGGCTTAGATGGACCAGGGCTGCAAGTCAGTCCCGGCGCAGGGAGGCAGGGAGGACCAGCGTCGGCACTGCACGCCTGGAAGACGAGCCAGGGCACGCCGCCCGGCTTCCCAGAGGGGGCACTGCCTGAGCTGGGCCCAGGAGAAGCCCGGCTCAGACGTACAGAGAAGGGGCAGGAGAGCACGGAGTGGGGAGGGAGGGCAGGTGCATTAAGGGGCAGGAGCGTCCTGCTTCACAACAGCGGGCTGCCGGGAGCTGGGGCTGAGCGTTGGCAAAGGGGCCCAGGGGTGTCCATCCTCACCCAGCCCTGGAGGCGGGGGGAGGGGGGGGTGCTCACCTCGTCATCGGACTGCAGGTACAGGTGCGAGAACTCCAGCAGCTCCCGCAGCTCCGCCGTCTGGTTGTGGTAGAGTGTGGCCTCCTGGGAGGAGGAGGGAAAGGGAGGTGAGCTGGGTCCCGCTGCTGGAGGAGGAGGGGGAGCCAGAGCCCCTGGGATGTGGGCCCTCTGGCCCTTTTCCAGCTCAAGGAGCCCGGACAGGTATCCACTCCCATTGAAGCTGCTGGGAGAGCCGGTTAAGAAGGGTTCTGAGGGCCGAAACCGGTGTGGCTCAGTGGATAGAGCGTAGGCCTGTGGACTCAAGGGTCCCGGGTTCGATTCCGGTCGGTGGCATGTGCCTTGGTTGAGGGCACATCCCCGGTACGGGGTGTGCAGGAGGCAGCTGGTCCATGTTTCTTTCTCGTCGATGTTTCTAACTCTATCTCTCTCCATCCTTTCTGTAAAAAATCAATAAAATATTTTTTAAAAAGGAGGATTCTGAGGGCTCTGCGGGAAAGAGCGCCTCCTCTGGCTCGCAGTGTCTGCCCCTGAGAGGACATGGGCAGTAGCACCACGTGCCCCACATCTGCCAGGGTTGCCCCAGGCTCCTAAAGAGTTTCTCAGTTGGCCCAGGCTGGGAGGTCCCTGGGGAAGCAGAGGGCGATGAGGGTGGGAAGGGAGCAGGCGGGAGCCAACAGGCATTTGTATACCTCCCACCCCCCAGGGGGCGCTGGTACGGCGGGGAGGACCAGCCCCATCTTGCCCGTGAGGAAAGGGTCAGTGGTGTCCCAGGACCACAAAGCCAATGGGGCTGGATTTGAACCCAGGACCCCAATCACAACCCATATTTTTTCACTTCCCATGCTGCCTTCTGAGGAAGCCAGAATTTTTTTTTTTTTTTTAACCAAACCACACGGTCCCGTGAGAGCCTGGAAGGCAAGGCCCACCTCCCGGGGCTGGAAGTCCTCCTCCTGCAGGCCCCAGCGGGCCCGGTGGAAGCGGTAGTACACCAGGTTCTGCTGCATCACGCCGTCCTCGGGGTCGAAGAGCATGTAGCTGGCGGCGCTGCGGGCAGCCTGGCGCACGTCGTTCACTGCGGACAGAAGAGGGCGAGGATGGCCCTGCACCGCCCACCTTTAGGGGTGACCCCCCCACCTTTAGGGATGACCTCCCCACAAGCCCTCCTTTAGGGATGACCCCCCTCACCCACTCCTATCTCCCTCTTCAGCCCAGTGCCTCAGCTGTCTCCCAGAATACCTTTGGGCGTCTCACCCCACCCAACAATAATGCAAGCGAGGATGTACTGGGCACTTGATGTGGGCCAGGCCCTCATTTAAGACTTAATGTCACTGCCATTCCCATTTTACAGATGAGAAATTCAAGGCACAGAGAGGTCACACCGCTGGAGAGTGATGTCAGAGGGGAAGAGAGGCCAGTGTGGCCCTCAATCTCTTAGCCAACTGGACCCCTGAGGGGTCTCCTGGCTGCTGTGTGTGTGTGTGTGTGTGTGTGTGTGTGTGTGTGTGAAATATATTTTTTTTATTTCAAAAAGGAAGGGAAAGGGAGGGAGAGATAGAATCATTGATGATGAGAGAGAACCATTGACTGGCTGCCCCCTGCATGCTCCCTACTGGGGATGGAGCCGGCAAACTGGGCATGTGCTCCTGATGGGAATCCAACCTGGGACCCTTCACCCTTCAGTCCACAGGCCGGCGCTTCACCCACTGAGCCAAACCGACCAGCGTTCTCCTGGCCCCTCCACTCCACCTCCAGCTTCTGTCTGAATCTTGGCATCTCTGCATTGCAGGAACCCTAGAGATTGTCCATCGCAGCCCCCACTTGGGGCCAGGATCTCCCTCAAGTGAGGGAAGCCTTAAGTCCTGGGGCTACTTCATTTTTCATAAGATTTTAAAAATTATTTTATTTTTTTTAGTGACAGAGGGAGAATGAGAGAGATAAATAACTATGTGAGACCAAAACATCAATCACACACCCCATACTGGGGATCAAACCAAAAATCCGGGCCTGTGCCCTGACCTGGAATTGAACCAGCAACCTTTTGGCACATAGGTTGACGCGCAACCATCTGAGCCACACCGGCCAGGGCTCTGGTGCTACGTCTTATTAGCTATGTGACTAACGGCCCCGGGCCCTCTATGTAAGCCTCAGTGTCCTCATCTGAAAAATGGGTCCAGCCGAAACTGGTTTGGCTCAGTGGATAGAGTGCCAACCTACGGACTAAAAGGTCCCGGGTTCGATTCCGGTCAAGGGCATGTACCTTGGTTGTGGGCGCATCCCCAGTGGGGGGTGTGCAAGAGGCAGCTGATAGGTGTTTCTCTCTCATTGATGTTTCTAACTCTCTATCCCTCTTCCTTCCTCTCTGTAAAAAATCAATTAAAAAATATATTTTTTTTTTAAAGAAAGAAAAAAGGAAAAGAAAAATGGGCCCAGCAATGTCCTCTGCAGGGGGTGGGTGAGAGGATAAAGTGAGATAAATGGACGTGGCAGGGCTTGGTAAACTGTCAGGTGCGGTGCAGCCGTGGGCTAGCTAGTCACTGACCCTGAGGCTGCTCCCTGTCTCTCCCTCAGCCTCTCACCTGCCCCACCCTCACCTCATCGCCCCCCCCAATAGCCCAGGGGCCTGAACTCTGAGGAACAGCTCCCCCTGACTCTGTGATGCTCCCTGCACAGTGCTCTCCGCTCCCCTCCCACCCCCAGCCCTCAGGAGGCTCACGCTTGTAGTAGGCAAACTGCAGGTAGTGATACATGGTGGCCACGAACTTCTCCACGAAGTAGCCGCCCACGTTGGGGGTCAGGTTGGCCTCACAGTCCACCTTGCACTGCAGGGATTCTGCGAAAATATCTGGGCAGGGCGGGGGGGAGGGTGGAAGTGGGGGAGAAGCTGGGGTGAGCAGCTGGTGGTGTGCTGAACTGCTCCGTTCCACCGAGGGGTGACGGAGAAGACAGCCCGCCCCAGCGCTGCCTGCAGAGCCCGCTGCCATCCCAGGAGACCTGGCGGCTGGGATAAGCGATGCGGAGGGAGACAGACTACTGTGGACAGGGCTGACGGACACCCCCAGCTCAGCTCTCCGGGAGGGTGGCAGGTGAGGTGTGGGAGCCGCATTGACGCCCAGAGTAAAAAGCTCAGGACAACCGAAACCAGTTTGGCTCAGTGGATAGAGCGTCGGTCTGCGGACTGAGGGGTCCCAGGATCAATTCCAGTTGGGGACATGTACATTGGCTGTGGGCACGTCCCCGATGCGGGGTGTGCAGGAGGCAGCTGGTCGATGTTTCTCTCTCATCAATGTTTCTGACTCTCTATCCCACTCCCTTCCTCTCTGTGGAAAATCAATAAAATATATTTAAAAACAAACAAACAAACAAACAAAAAAACTCAGGACAGCCCTGAGGGGCCCCTGCAGTTAGGGACTAGGTGAGATTTCTGGCCACAAGCTGCTTTTGGTGCATTCATGCTGGGCTGTTTCCCATCTGGGGCGGGCGTGGGGGAGGGGGACTCCTTTGCACCTGCACTGACCTCTGCCCCGAAAGCCTGTGAACCCCACCTCCCAGTCCCTTCTGAGATGTCAGGGCCTCTCTCCCCCGGGGCCCAGCACCCTGGCCGCTCCAGACTGCAGCCCTCTGCTGGGGATCCGTTACCCGGTCTGCCTCTCTGAGCTGCCTGCACCCTCCACACTCCCGGGACTACACCCGACCACCTCCCCAGCCCTGGGTAGGCGCTCCATAGCTGTGTGAAGGGGTGGGAGCTGTTCCGGGCCCACCCGGTGGTGGCCGGAACCGACGCCCCCGGGCTGGGGCGGGGTACCTGCTATGGCGGGGTAGAAGTCCTTGAAGTCCACCTGCTCGTGGGCCCCCTCGCAGCCGGCCAGGCACCGTGCAAAGGTGGCCAGGTACTCGGCCAGGGCGCGCTCCATGTCCTCCGTGCTGCTGCGGAAGTCCCCGCTGTTGTAGAGCTTCACCGCCCGGAGGAACACGGCCTGGAGGGCATCGAGGGGAGGGTCAGGCACCCCCCCCCCCCCCAACTCCCTTCCTCCCCAAGTCCGGGGGGGGGGGGAGGAGCCTCAGGGCCAGCCCTCCCCCTGCACCCACCTCGTAGGGCTGCGCCTCCAGGTCGGTGAGGGGCTCCTCGGCCGCGTCCAGCAGGCCGCGGTAGTAGCTGAGATACTTGGTGGTCAGCTCGTGCTTGGGGTTCTTCTGCAGGAAGGTGTAGGCCGCCGCCAGCGCCTTCTCCAGCCGGTTAGCCTGCGGGGCGGGATGGGGCGGGGTCAGGGTGGGTCAGCGGGGCCTGAGCCCGCCGCCCGGAGTAAGCGCACCAGGGGCTTAGGGACCAGTGTCACCCACTGCTCCGCCGCACCCGACGGGACACCCGACGCCGGCTGCCCGATGGGGCCGATGGGGCCGATGGGGCCGGGGGGGGGGGGGGGAAGCACGCGGGACGGGGGCGGCGCCCACCTTGAAGTGCGCGTAGTGCAGGTACTGGTAGGGCCGGCGGCTCTGGAAGTCGCGCAGCAGCTGGCGCGGCGGGTAGGGCACCTGGAAGGCGGGCAGCGTCCGCTTGCAGCGCCGCAGGCAGGCGGCGCGCTCCAGGACGCGGCCGAAGAGCCGCAGCTCGCGGGCCCACTCGTCGCCGGGGCCCCCGGCGGGGCCGGGCGGGGGCCCGGGGGCGGCGGCGGGGCCGGGCGCGGGCCCCCCGCTGCAGTCGGCGTGGCAGAAGGCCTCGCTGTCGCGCAGCAGCCGGTGCAGCCGCAGCGCCGCCTCCAGGTAGCGCGCGCTCTCGCGCCAGCTCTCGCCCTCGTACTGCTCCAGCGCGTGCCCGTAGGCGGCGGCCAGCGGCATCAGGTCCTCGGGCGGGAAGCCCCGGAAGCTGTACTTCTCGTACTGCGCCGCCGAGCCGCCCAGCAGCAGCCACAGCAGCGCCCAGGCCGCCCGCCCCATCCCCGCGCCGCCGCCCGCGGCTCTCCAGCCCAGCGGTGTCCGGGCCGGGCCTGGGGCGGGCGGGCGGGGCAGGGGCCGGGCCGGCGTGCCCGCTGGGTCTTAGCGCCGGGCCTCGGGCCTCCTGCAGGGTCGTGGCCTCGGTCAGGTCCCCCGAGGGCCAGAGGGCTGCGTCTCCCCTCTTTTCGGTGGGCGCCATGAGGTCCCGAGTCCCCTACGTAGCCCGGCCCCCTGTTCTTAGGTTTTTCCCTCGACAGATGGGGGGACGCTCCCCTTAAGGATGGGGAGCCCAGAAAGCTCCTCTCCACACTGTCCACCCACCTTAGGATCGTGAGGGACGTGCCACCGCCCTCTAGGCTGCCCACGCCCTGGGACCGGGCTTTCCGCCCATCACAGCGCCCCTCTGGCACACGCCGCACCCCCAGTCCCGAAGGGGTCGCTCCCAGTGACCCCCATCCCAGTGTCCCCCCATCCCGCGGCGGGCAGGCCACACCTGGTCTTACCCGGCTCACCCTCCACTCCGCCCCCTCCTCCCGCCTGACCTCCATCCCCCGTCAGGAAGCCCGGGCAGCCCAGGTTTTGCAGAACAAAGTTATCTCCTCGTCCTGGGACAGTAGGGATGGGGGAGCCCCGAGACACCCTCGGATTCTGTAGCCTCCCCAGAAGAGGCTTCTGGTTTGGGGGTGCCAGCGAAAGGAGCAAGGGACGCCTCGGTCCGGTGGTCCGGCGTTAGGACCCCGGGGGCTCCAGGGGGGAAAAACACACCAACACTGAACTTTTTCTCTTCTTTTTTTGGGTTTGGAGTCAGCTCCCACTTCTCATCTTTCCGCAGCCTCCCGCCCGCCCGCCCCGGCCAGGCCTCTCGCCTCGGGTGGGGGGAAAGGCGGGGGAGTCTGGAGCCCTTTGTGGCGCCTTCCCGGCCCCCACCGCTCCCCGCCGGGCCCCCGCCTCCCAGCCCACCCTCGCCGGCTGCCAGCTCACCGCCCCCGCCCCCATTCCACGTGGACCCGCCGGGCGGGGTGGGAGTGGAGACAGGAAGAGGGGGAGCCAAGGCCGGGAGCGGAGCCGCTCTTGTTCGTCCTCCCTCGGCGCCGGCCATCCCCGCTCCGGGCCATCCCCGCTCCGGGCCATCCCCGCTCCGGGCCATCCCCGCTCCGGCCATCCCAGCTCCGGGCCATCCCCGCTCCGGGCCATCCCCGCTCCAGGCACCATGTCCGGCGGCCGCTCCCTCCGGCGCCCCTCGCCGCCGCCGCTGCTGCCGCTGCTGCTGCTGGCGCTGGCCGTGGGCAGGGCGCTGGGCCGCGCCAGCCCGGCCGGGGGCCCCCTGGAAGACATAGTCATCGAGCGGTACCACATCCCCAGGGCCTGCCCCCGGGAGGTGCAGCGCGGGGACTTCGTGCGCTACCACTACAACGGCACGTTCGAGGACGGCAAGAAGTTCGACTCCAGGTAAACGGGGCGGGGGGGGGCGAGGGGGGGGGAGACAGGCTCCCTGCTCCTCTTCGCCCGCAGCGGGGCGCCCTTAGTTCCTGGGGTCCCCTGGGTGCCCCGTCAAGCCGTGTCTGCATTCTGGTACTCATCCCCTGATCCCCCTCTAACCCCGTACACAGCGCCTTGGGTGGGGGTGAGGCTGGTCTCCCAGACACCCATCTCTCTCCCAGGGATGTGTCTTCTGCTCTCAATTTCAAACCTTTGCCTCTCCGAGCATCCTGATTTCGAGCTCCCCAAACTCCCCGCAAAGAGCTTGAAAGTCAAGGTGAACTGCTCTCCTTCCAGCCCTTTATTTAGGGACAGGAGGAGGGGGCTGTTTTAAGCCTACAGGGTTGGGGGGAAGAGCGTGGTCCCTGGTGCATGTGAGCAGCCTGGACCCCCTCCGTTCCCACCCACCCTGACTCCCTTCAGCTCCCATCCCCGGGTTTCAGTGCCGCTGTGGTTAGAGAAGAGGGAGAACTTCCTTTTGGGGGTGGGGGTGGCTGTTAGCAGCAGCCAGCGGCCAAGCAGCTGCGTTATAATGAGGGTGAGTGAATCTGGGCGGTAGGGACCACGGCTGTCCACGTGTCCGGCCTGCTGTCCCCGGGCTCCCGGGAGGGTTTGTATCCCTCCCTCTCCAGGGCTACCTGCACCCCCACCTCCCTCCATCTTAGTTCCTGCCACCCGGCCAGGGCTGCCGCCCATCTTGCCAGCCCTGGCGTTCCAGAGGCCGGCTTCTGCTCCGACAAGTCCACATTTCCCCCCAGACCCAAGAATACTGTTTCCATTGATTTCTAGAGAGAATGGAAGGGAGAGGGGAGAGACAGAGAGACAGAAACATGACATGAGAGAGACACACCAATTGGTTGCCTCCCAACCAGGGTGGGGCTCCAACAGCCTGCAACCGAGGTGCATGCTCTTGACCAGAATTGAACCCGGGGCCCTTTAGTCTGCAGGCCGATGCTCTATCCACTGAGCCAAACCGGCTCGGGCGCTAATCCACTTTTGTTGGTGGGGGCAGAGCGGGGGCTGCTGGTCAGTCTTGGTTAAACCGTAGGTATCCGTGACACACACACACACACACACACACACACACACACCACCACACCCCAAGAAGTCAGTGCTTCTTAGACCCTTCCCCCAAACACAGGTCCTCCCACGGGGAAATCGCAGCCACGGCTTTGGGGGTGGGCTGTGTATTGTAAGAACAAACTCCAGGGTCCGAGACCCTGGTTTCCAAGCCAGCCTGTGGCCATGGACAAGAAAGGTTGCCTCTTAAAGCTTTCCTGGATTTATCTGAAACATAGAGATCACAAACCATCTGAAAAAGTCCAGTCCCTACTTCCTAAGACTGATGAGAGGACTCCAGGCGATGAAGGAAAGTGGACTTGACACAGTGCCTGGAAGTCCGAAAGGTTCAATACTCATCAGCCTCGATCTGATGCCGGGGGCCCTCACAGCAGCCTGTGGGGGAAGCAGGCCGTCATAAAACCCGTCATAAAACCCGCTCAGTAGGCAAAGCGAGGAGCAGGCAGTAGCTGGGAGCACAGCCCCTGACCGCCAGGAGCAGGGTGGAGGAGGTGGGGGGGGGGGAGCATTGGGGGACGACTTCCCTGGGGGAGCCAGGCTGATTCTGGAAAACGTTCACAACCCGTGGCCCCCTTCGGTCAATCCCCCAGCCGCCCTAACTTCTGAAAACAAAATGAAAAAACAATACTAAAATAAATACAAGCCATGGCAGTTTTAGAATAGGCTCTTTCAGAGCTGAAAACCAATCCGTACCCCCCACCAGCCCTGCTGCCCCTTCCTTTCCTCCTTGGCGGAGTGAGTCCCTGGTGTAGAGGCACAAACAGGGGCTTTGGCGTGGGCGCATACCACGTTAGCCGTGACCTTGAGCGAGTGACTTCGTCTCGGAAGAAAAATGAAAACAAACGTGCCTACCTCTCAGGGAAGGAATTAAATAAGATCACCGCCAGGCATGTCCCCGGCACATGCTAACGGCTCCATAGACGCTCCTCTTCGCCGCCATGCAGCGCTGAGCGCGCCTTTGCTGCCAGCAGAGCAGCAGGCGCTGGCGCCCAGCCCTCTCCCGGGGGTAGGAGAGCCCCGGGCTCCGGGGAGACTGGCTTTTTGTAACTGCCAGCCTCTTACACAAGGGGGGGATCATGGCTGACCCCGAGGGAGGTGAGGAGCCTGCTGATTACACCTGTGTACAGAGGGGCCTTGTGCATGCGCGCGCGTGTGTGTGTGTGTGTGTGTGTGTGTGTGTGTGTGTGCACGGAGGGGAGCATCTGGCTGTGTGCACCCCCACCTGGGCACACCCGGACCCGCTGTATCCCTTCTGTCCCCTCCGTCCCCCAGCTATGACCGCAGCACGTTGGTGGCCATCGTGGTGGGGGTGGGGCGTCTCATCACCGGCATGGACCGCGGCCTCATGGGCATGTGTGTCAACGAGCGGAGACGCCTCATCGTGCCGCCCCACCTGGGGTACGGCAGCATCGGTGTGGGTGAGGAGGCTGGGCCCTGGGTGGGGGATGGCAGCATCGGTGTGGGTGAGGAGGGCTGGGCCCTGGGTGGGGGATGGCAGCATCGGTGTGGGTGAGGAGGCTGGGCCCTGGGTGGGGGGTGGCAGCATCGGTGTGGGTGAGGAGGCTGGGCCCCGGGTGGGGGATGGCAGCATCGGTGTGGGTGAGGAGGGCTGGGCCCCGGGTGGGGGGTGGCAGCATCGGTGTGGGTGAGGAGGCTGGGCCCCGGGTGGGGGATGGCAGCATCGGTGTGGGTGAGGAGGCTGGGCCCTGGGTGGGGGGTGGCAGCATCGGTGTGGGTGAGGAGGGCTGGGCCTGGGCCGGGGGATGGAGGAGCCTGGAGATAGAATCAGGAACCCCAGGGCCAAAAAACTGAAGTTTAGCGAGGGAGAGGGACCTGCCCATGGTCAGTGGCCTACACAGTATGAAGAGGGCAGGTCTGGACTAGAATTTCTTTTTTCTTTTTTAATATATTTTACTGGTTTTTTACAGAGAGGAAGGGATAGGGATAGAGAGCCAGAAACATCAATGAGAAACATCCATCAGCTGCCTCCTGCACGCCCCCTACTGGGGATGTGCCCGCAACCAACGTACATGCCCTTGACCGGAATCCAATCTGGGACCCTTTATTTATTTATTTTACTTAAAAAAAAAAAAAAAAATTTATTTCTTTATTGATTAAGGTATCACATATTTGTCCTCAACCCCCCATCCCAATCCCCTCCCCCTCACTCATGCCCCCACCCCCTATTGTCCTTGACCACTGGTTAGACCCATATGTGTGCACATAAGCCCTTTGGTTGATCTCTCCCTTTTATCCCCACCCTCCCTCTGAGGCCCAACAGTCCTGGGGTGGGGGGAAGGGAGATGACGGCTGGTTGGGACCGTAGCTTGACTAGGAAGGAGGGGAACCAGAGATGAGGAGGGGAAGGCCGAGCAGGATGCAGGGGGCTGCACCAGCGTGAGCGCCCGCCGCCCGGCCCTCACAGCGGGCCTCATCCCCCCGGACTCCACCCTCTACTTCGACGTGGTCCTGCTGGACGTGTGGAACAAGGAGGACACCGTGCAGGTGAGCACCCTGCTGCGGCCGCCCCACTGCCCCCGCATGGTCCAGGACAGCGACTTCGTCCGCTACCACTACAACGGCACACTGCTGGACGGCACCGCCTTCGACAGCAGGTGAGGGCGCCGGGCCCGGGCGCCGGTGCGGGGGGCGTTCGGGGTCTGTGTCCTCCCTCCTCCGGCGGCATCACCCGGCCTCCCTCTCCGCAGCTACAGCCGGGGCGGCACCTACGACACCTACGTGGGCTCAGGCTGGCTGATCAAGGGCATGGACCAGGGGCTGCTGAGCATGTGCCCTGGGGAGAGAAGGAAGATCATCATCCCCCCGTTCCTGGCCTATGGCGAGAAGGGCTACGGTAAGGGCGCGGGCGTTCTCCGAAGCGGCTGCTGCCGCACACACGTCCGGGGTGTGTGCCGCACAGGGCACCCGCCGAGGAGGCGCCTGGGAGTGAAATCCAGCCCTCGGGGGTCCTCTCGTTCAGGAGGTCCCCTGTGTTCTTTTTTCTTTTTTTTAATATATATATATATATATTTTTTTTTTAATTTAATTTAATTTTTTTTATTTTTTTACAGAGAGGAAGAGAGAGGGATAGAGAGAGCCAGAAACATCGATGAGAGAGAATCATCGATCAGCTGCCTCCTGCACACCCCCTACCGGGGATGTGCCCGCAACCAAGGCACATGCCTAGACCGGAATCGAACCTGGGACCCTTCAGTCCGCAGATCGACGCTCTATCCACTGAGCCAAACCGGCTTCGGCAGGGGGCTGTGTTCTGATTCACACAAAGGCCCATACGGGCTGGTGGGGGGCCCCGGGGGCACACCCAGCTCCAGCCTCACAGGGGGAGCCAGGAGCAGGGCTGTGAGGGCCAGGGAAGGGCCCAGGGGAGCAGGTGGCACCCAGAGGCCCTCCTGGGTCCCGGAGGAGCCGGGCTTGCTCCCCACCCGTATGGTTGAAGCCTGTCCCGTCCCCAGGGACTGTGATCCCCCCGCAGGCCTCCCTGGTCTTCCACGTCCTGCTCATCGACGTCCACAACCCCAAGGACGTGGTGCAGCTGGAGACGCTGGAGCTCCCGCCCGGCTGTGTCCGGCGGGCCGCGGCCGGGGACTTCATGCGCTACCACTACAACGGCTCGCTGATGGACGGCACCCTCTTCGACTCCAGGTCCGGGGCGGCCCGAGCACGGAGGCTGGGGCTGGGCGGGAGGCAAGGAGCTGGGGTCGCCCCGCCACCCGGGCCTCCCTGACTCCCTCGCTGGCCTCCCCACCTTGTCCACAGCTACTCCCGCAACCACACATACAACACCTACGTGGGGCAGGGCTACATCATCCCGGGCATGGACCAGGGGCTGCAGGGCGCCTGCGTGGGCGAGCGCCGGAGGATCACCATCCCCCCGCACCTGGCCTACGGGGAGAACGGGACCGGTAGGCCAGGGGTCCCTCCGCGCCTCCCCTGAACCCCTCCGCTCCTCCCCACACCGGCCACCCGCACAGTCCCTGCCACACGGGCTCCCTCCTCTCCCCCGGGGCAGTGCCCCACCTCTCTCCCCTCCTGCGGACGCGCTCTGAGTGTGGGGAGGGGGTGGCTATGGGAGAACGGGAACCGCAGAGCCCTGGGGAGCAGAGGCCCGGAGCTGAGGCCCAGCTCTGTTGGACGCCTCGGCGTCCTCGCCTATACAATGGGACTCGTCGCCCTGACCAGCCGGTGGGGGACCCGGGGCTGCACGGTATGAAGGGCTTTCTCACTGGCAGGCCCCTCCCTCCCCTGCCCCCGAGGAGACCTGATTACGTGGACAAACAGCCCACCCCATTCTCGCGGGAGACCCCAGGGCAGGTTCACGGAGACCCTGAGGCCCCTCCCACCCCACCCCACCCCACCCCCAGACGCCACGCTGACCCTCTCCCCGTTCTGGTCCCAGGAGACAAGATCCCTGGCTCGGCGGTGCTGATATTCGACGTCCATGTCATCGACTTCCATAACCCCGCGGACCCCGTGGAGATCAGGACCCTGTCCCGGCCCGCCGAGGCCTGCAACGAGACCGCCAAGTCCGGGGACTTCGTGCGCTACCACTACAACTGCTCCCTGCTGGACGGCACCAGGCTCTTCTCCTCGTGGGTCTGGGGCCGGGGGCGGGCGGGTGGGTGGGACTAGGGGAGGGGAGACCTCCATATAGCACTCCCTTCCTTCTCCGTAGTTCACATCCATGGTGGAGCATAAGGAAGGGCAGAGAGGGGAAGGGAGGGTGGAGCTAGCAGCAGGGGAGCTGAGCCCTCGAGGCAATGGCAGGATGAGAAGGGTGTCCCCTCTGAGCCTGGGCCCCCGCACTCGGCAGTGTGGGGTGGGCACCAGAGGGCTGTGAACTGTGGGGCGAGGAAGGGCACTGACCTGGGACTCTGCTCCTCCCCCAGGCACGACTACGGGGCTCCCCAGGAGGCCACTCTGGGGGCCAACAAGGTGATCGAAGGGCTGGACACAGGCCTGCAGGGCATGTGCGTGGGCGAGAGGCGGCAGCTCGTGGTGCCCCCGCACCTGGCACACGGGGAGAGTGGAGGTGAGGGACAGTCTGGCCTGATCCCCCAGCCCGTTTGACCCTTTCGGCTGGTTCCGGAAACACCCACGCCCCCTCCAACCACCCAGCGGGGTGACAGGCCTGCGAGCTGGGAATACCCCGGGCGGGCAGGCGGGCTGCACCGCCAGGCCCAGGCCCTGGCCTGACCGGGACGCCCTCCCTTCTCCCCCCGCCAGCCCGTGGGGTCCCGGGCAGCGCCGTGCTGCTGTTCGAGGTGGAGCTGATATCCCGGGAGGAGGGGCTGCCCGAAGGCTACCTGTTTGTGTGGCACCAGGACCCGCCTGCCAACCTGTTTGAGGACCTGGACCTCAACAAAGACGGCGAGGTCCCGCCCGAGGAGGTGGGTGAGGATGCGACCCTCACAGGAGCCATTCCCACACCCTCACCTGGCAGGGCGGCCTCTGGCAGGAACGGGTGCATGCCCACCCTCCTGTCTGAGCCCGTGTCCCCGCCCCTCTGCCGGGTCCCTGTGCTGTCGTTCCTGTCCCTGCGTCTCTCCCACACACGGGCGGCCCTGGCCCCGCTCAGAACCCCAGCCCCGGCTCCTCCCCTCCGTCATCGCTGGCTGGCCTCCCCTGGGGACCTTTTAAAAATAAATATATATATAGATAGATATAGATATAGATATAGATATATAGATATAGATATAGATATATTATTGATTTTTTACAGAGAGGAAGGAGAAGGATAGAGAGCTAGAAACGTCGATGAGAGAGAAACATCGATCAGCTCCTCCTGCACACCCCCTACCAGGGATGTGCCCGCAACCAATGTACATGCCCTTGACCGAAATCACACCGGGGACCCTTCAGTCCAGTGCTCTGTCCACTGAGCCAAACCGGTTCGGCATCCCCTGGGGCCCTTGCCAAGGCCCCCAAAGCTGCTCCGGCACGAGGCTCACGCCCCCTCCCCGGCTCTCCTTTCCCCAGTTCTCCGCCTTCATCAGGGCTCAGGTCAGCGAGGGCAAGGGCCGCCTCATGCCGGGGCAGGACGCCGACAAGACCATCGGCGACATGTTCCAGAACCAGGACCGCAACCAGGACGGCAAGATCACCGTCGAGGAGCTCAAACTCAAGTCCGACGAGGACCAGGAGCGGGTTCACGAGGAGCTCTGAGCGCAGAGCCCGGGCCGGGCCCCACACCGACGCCCGCGTCCGAGCACCGTGGGCAGAGGGGGTGACGTCCAGCAGTCCGTGTGTGTGTCCCCCTCCCCCCCCCGCGGGGAAGAGGTCTGAGAGCATCTCAGTGGTCGGAGACAGTCCGAGCGAGACCCACAGCGCAGACCTCTCCCCGGTGCTTCTCCTCCGGCCCCACACCAGCTCCTTCGGAGTGACAGCCAGTCTGGGGACGGGGGGAGGCTGGGGCTGGATGGGCCATTGCTGGCCCCCACCCACCCCTCCACGTCACCACGGCGCATGGCCAAGCCAATCATTTCTATTTCCCCACACTCCCTGTTTGTCCTTTTCCTCACCATCCCCAGGCCTGCCCCCTCCTCCCCCCCCCCCCCCCCCCCCCCCGTCATGGCAGCTCCCCAGGGGCGTGGGCCGGGGCTGGCAGAACCGTCTTCCTCCCACAGCCACAGCTGGCTCCAAAGGAAGGGGAGGCTCAGGAGAGCAGCCCTACCACCCCAGGTCCCCTGCACCTGCGCCGTGTCTCCCCCTCCCCCCCTGTGCTGCTGGGTACCTCAGGGAGCTGCAGGTCCGGGCTGGGCCGTGGCACCTTTCATCCCTGAAGGGGCTGAGGGGGAGGAAGGAATAAAAGGGCAGGGTGAGGAGGTGAGGACGCCACTGCCACTCCGATGGGTCTTGGAGCTACGAAATGATTCAGAGCCGAGATAAACCCGGAAGGGCTCACTGGGGACCGAGGCGGAGGGGAGGGGAGGGGCAGAGCTCTGCACTCGGAGCTAAGCTGGTGTCGGATCTCCTTCTCCTCGGTGACGAATAAAAGACCCAACCAGAGCCTCCGGAAGTGGTCTTTCCCTGGGGAGGCTCAGACCCAAGGACTGAGAGGAGAGGAACCGAGCAGGCCGCCTCCGCGCCTGTGAGCGCAAGGCTGTCCCTGGGTCTCGGTCTCCTCCCTCCAGAGCCTCCTGCCTCCCTGGTCCAGCCCTTCAGCCCTAATCCTGGAAAGGAAGCCCCTGGGCAGGGAGCGGGTGACCACCGAGAGGGGCCTGCAGGGGAGGTGCGGACAGATGATCCCTGTCTCCTCTGTCCCGAGTGAATGGAAAGACGAGGTCTGTGACCTCAAACACCACACACAAAGCTCAGAGAGAAATCAGAGGCCAGACTCCGCCCTCACATAGATCATTCCCCAAACTGACATTCCCACCTCTCCCTGCTCCTGGCTGCAGGCCATTCCCACCCGCCCGTCCTCCCTCTGGTCACAGAGAAGGAACTGAGCCTGAATCTCTGGGTCCTGGGGGAGGTGTTGGCAGCAGCCACCAGCCAGGCCATCGGCCCTCCCCTGCCCTGCCATGGAGATGCCCCGGACCAGGGTGGAGGAGGTGCTTGGGAGAGAAAACGATGGAACTGGTCACTGATCTGCCCCTCAAGACTTCCTGCCCAGGATCCCGAGACGCGACCTCCCCATGGCCACTTCCTGTCCCAAAGCATCCGGAGGCACAGCAGAGCCTGACACTGGCTACCCTCACCCTTAGGTGAAAACCTCTCCTCCCCCAAACCTACACATGCAGGGGGGCAGGATGCAGGCCCCCTTTGGCCAGAAACACTCCACCCTTGCTCTAGCTCCCCGTCATGGGGTGTGGCTGTTCCTGGTCCTGCCTGGGCCACCGGCAGACCAGACCTGCAGGGTCGCTGTGAGGTGTAGTGGCGCACACAGGAGGTGCCACACAGGATCCAGCCCCCAGTCCCGAGGCTTTCCTTCAGATGAACATTTCCAACAACCAGGCACCCACGGGGGAGGGGGAGGGGCCGGATGTCGGAGGACAGGCTAAGGAAACACAAGGTAATGTGGTGGGTCTACATTTTCTTCAAAAGGCACCCTAGAGAAAGGTCAGTTAGTTCTTTTTGAAAAAGTATTTTTATTGATTTCAGAGAGGAAGGAAGAGGAAGAAAGAAACATCAATGAGGAGGGAGAATCTGACAGGCTGCCTCTCACACGCCCCCTCCTGGGGACCGAGCTGCAATGCCTGACCCAGAACTGAACCGTGACCTCCTGGTTCAGAGGTTGATGCTCAACCACTGAGCCACGCTGGCTGAGCCAGCTAATTCTTCACCAAGTCAACAGGGAGGGGAGAAGGGAAAAAACTCTGAAGAACAGACAAGACAACATAAACTACTAGTCTGCTTTGCCACAGAGCAACTTATCCCGCCAGGTCCAGGGTCCCACCCCCAGCCCCACTCACCTCACCCATTTTAGAGGCCCTGGGCCCGCAAGAGGAGGAAGGACAGGAATCAAGGGCATCAGGGAAAACCGACACCCCAGTGGACCCCTTTGGGGACTTCTAAAGGGCTCTGCACACAGGGCTGGCCAGACCCAACGGATCCCAACTGAATTCCCAGTTCACCAGCTGCATCAGAATAAAGGCAAACTGCTCCCGCCTGCCTGATCCCAACTGAATTCCCAGTTCACCAGCTGCATCAGAATAAAGGCAAACTGCTCCCGCCTGCCTGCCATCCCGACCCCACAGACATCCTCAAGCTGCGCTCGGAGCGCCGTCTGGGCTAATGCAGAGGTTTCCAAACCACGTCCTGTGGAACCCTGGCAGCTTCTTGGAAGGTTCCTGCACCCCCAGGACCAACGGGTACAGGCTGTGGCCCCCCAAAACCTCGAAATCAGAACAGCTCCGGTTTCTCCGTTTATTTCGATCCACCATACACATTCGATTTGTTTGAAGAACAGCATCCCACGTTAAACATTGCCGAAAAACAGAATCCTGGACCACACGACCCCCGGAATGCAAACAGCCCGCAGGTCCGATTCATCTGCAGTGGATTCTGCTCCTCCCACCTGCCAGGCCTCCCTCAGGCCGTGGAGAGCTCACAAGAATGTGCCAGGGGCAGGGGGAGGGGAGGGACGGACCCAGCAGCGCGGGGTGTCCCGAGCTGCCCTCTGCACACACCGGGCTCACCTCGGAGCGGCCCCCGGAGGCTCCCCTCGGCTCTCCGCCCGCAGACGGGCCCTGCGCCCGCCTCTCAGGAGCCCCACGCCTCCACCCCGTCCCCCTGGTGCAGGATGTGCTGCAGCAGCCCGTTGACCACGTCCAGCGTCTCGTCCTTCTCCAGCACAATGTCGTAGGAGGCCATGTAGCGCTCCCGCTGCTCCTCCACCTGCCGGGGAGGGGGAGGGGAGACGGAGAGTCCCTGAAAAGCCCGCCCTCCGCCCACTGCCTCCGCCCACCGCCTCCGCCTCCGCCCACAGCCTCCGCCTCCGCCCACCGCCTCCGCCTCCGCCCACTGCCTCCGCCTCCGCCCACTGCCTCCGCCCACCACCACTGCCTCCATCTCTGCCCACTGCCTCCGCCTCCGCCTCCGCCTCCGCCCACGGCCTCCGCCTCTGCCCACCGCCTCCGCCTCTGCCCACCGCCTCCACCTCTGCCCACTGCCCACCGCCTCTGCCCACGGCCTCCGCCTCCGCCCACCGCCTCCGCCTCCGCCCACCGCCTCCGCCTCCGCCCACCGCCTCCGCCCACCGCCTCCGCCTCTGCCCACTGCCTCTGCCCACTGCCTCCGCCTCCGCCCACTGCCTCCGCCTCCGCCTCTGCCCACTGCCCACCGCCTCCGCCCACCGCCTCCGCCTCCGCCCACCGCCTCCGCCTCCGCCCACCGCCTCCGCCTCCGCCCACCGCCTCCGCCTCCGCCCACCGCCTCCACCTCCGCCCACTGCCTCCGCCTCCGCCACTGCCTCCGCCCACCGCCACTGCCTCCATCTCTGCCCACTGCCTCCGCCTCCGCCTCCGCCTCCGCCTCCGCCCACTGCCTCCGCCTCTGCCCACGGCCTCCGCCTCCGCCTCCGCCCACCGCCTCCACCTCTGCCCACTGCCTCTGCCCACCGCCTCCGCCTCCGCCTCCGCCTCCGCCTCCGCCCACCGCCTCCGCCTCTGCTCACTGCCTCCGCCACTGCCCACCGCCTCCGCCCACTGCCTCCGCCTCCGCCCACTGCCTCCGCCTCCGCCCACTGCCTCCGCCTCCGCCCACTGCCTCCGCCCACCGCCTCCGCCTCCGCCCACTGCCTCCGCCTCCGCCTCTGCCCACTGCCCACTGCCCACTGCCTCCGCCTCCGCCTCTGCCCACTGCCCACTGCCTCCGCCTCCGCCCACTGCCTCCGCCTCCGCCTCTGCCCACTGCCCACTGCCCACTGCCTCCTCCTCCGCCACTGCCTCCGCCTCCGCCCACTGCCTCTGCCCACCGCCTCTGCCCACCGCCTCCGCCTCCGCCTCTGCCCACTGCCCACTGCCTCCGCCTCCGCCCACTGCCTCCGCCTCCGCCTCTGCCCACTGCCCACCGCCTCCGCCTCTGCCCACTGCCTCCGCCACTGCCCACTGCCCACCGCCTCCGCCTCTGCCCACTGCCCACTGCCCACTGCCTCCGCCTCTGCCCACTGCCCACTGCCTCCGCCTCCGCCCACTGCCTCCACCCACTGCCTCCGCCTCCGCCTCTGCCCACTACCTCCGCCACTGCCCACCGCCTCCGCCTCTGCCCACTGCCCACTGCCTCCGCCTCTGCCCACTGCCTCTGCCTCTCCCCACGGCTTCCGCCTCTGTCCACTGCCTCTGCCCACTGCCTCGGCCTCTCAAACACCTGGAGTGGGGTTGGTGTGCATTCAAGCCACAGATCCCCTAGACCCGTGGTTGGCAAACTGTGGCTCGCGAGCCACACATGGCTCTTTGGCCCCTTCCACAAAATATCATGGCCTGGGCGAGTCTATTTTGAAGAAGTGGTGTTAGAAGTTTTAAAATTTTAGCTCTCAAATTTCAATCAGCCTGCTGTTGATACTTGGCTCTGTAGACTAATGAGCTTGCCGACCACGGCCCTAGAGGAGTCAAGGTCACAGGGCCTGCCTCCTGGAGCCGCAGATGGCAATGGGCACAATAAACTCTGGGGTCAGAAGGTCAGCAACCAGGATTAAAACTTAAAAGCCAGACATGACCTCTAATCTACGTGGACCAGATTTCCACAGGCTCCAGCGTGCGGGGAGCCTTCCATCCACACCACGCCCCAGCCCCGACGGCCGTCCTGCTTCCACCCGCCGGCCTCTGTGCTAGTGTCCTCCTCTCTAAACTGGGGACCCGCATCCTAAAACCCGGCGTCTCCCATCGCAGTGAGGCCCGACAGGTCTGACTTGGGAGGACGGGCAACCAGCCCGCCTCTTCCTCCCGGTGTCCCCGGGGCAGGTGACTCGGCCTCCTCGCCGGCCTCCTCGGCTGTAAAATGGTGCAGCCATCACTCCCTCCCCGGCTGCTGGGAAGACTGAGCGGGTTAATGACCCCACACACGCTGAGCACTCAGTGGGACCCCAATGAGGGGCCTGGCATTCCCCTGCCTCTGAACTCACTCATTGCTGGCTCTCTCGCGTTCATTGCTGGCTACCTCATCTTCCTATGAGATTCGGGATTTCCTCCTGAAGAACACGCTCCTGTCTTACCTCTGTGCCTCCAACACGGAGTGCCGGGGACAGCACACGGGTGTCCGGTGAGCACGTGGACAGAAGCTGCGGGGGAAGCGGCCACGGAGGTGGCAGCCCCGGCCCCCCACCTACCTTGTCGTTGAGGAAGCCGATCTTGAGGATGTTCTCCACGCCCTGAACCCCGTCGGCCATGGTGAGATCCCCCATGGTGTCCCCCAGCAGCAGGACGTTGGTCTTGCCCTGCAGCTGCTGGAAGTAGCTGGAGTTCCTGCACACGGAGCTGTTCTTGTTGTACGTGTGAATGAGCTGGCCCTTGAAGCCCCGCAGGAAACCCTGAAGGACCGAGAAGAGAGACCCACCGAAGGGCTCCAGGGACCCGTCCGGCACTGGTGTACCCCTGCCTCTGCCACAGAGACAGGGAAATCCTACAAGCCACAGGCAATGCCAAAGCCTCCTGTGGTCTCAGCCAGGAGTCGGCAAGGGAGGGCCCGTGGGTCAAACGTGGCCTGTTTTTGTAAATTAGGTTTTGTTGGCACACACACACGCCTGTTGGTTCCCATCTGCCTATGGCTGCTTTTCTGCACGGCGGAGCGGGGTGGCTGCCACAGAGGCCGTGTAGCCCGTCCAGCCACAGATGATAACGCTTATGGTTCCTGGTTTAAACTTTTCCGCAACTACCGTGTTTCCCCGAAAATAAGACATCCTCCGAAAATAAGACCTAGCGCATGGAAAGATAAGGCATCCCCTGAAAATAAGACCTAGCACAACTTTGGGAGAAAAAATTAATATAAGACACTGTCTTATTTTCGGGGAAACAGGGTAGGAGCCATCCAATATTGCTGGTCACCTACTCTGGTGGAAGCATGAAGCCCGTTCAGGCTGTGTGTGCACTAAGCCTCCCCTGATTAGCCCACAGGACAAAGGCATGGAAATTCCGGCCACTGGCTTTAAGGGGAAAAAGTCAGAACATGGGTGAATCGGAGCAGCCCACCTCTGGCCCTAGAAAAACAAGCTGAAGCCTCAGCCCTGGAGTACCCAGGACGGCGCATGACCCGTGACAGTGACGTGGGGCCTGGTGGACCCCATGGCAGAGAGCCGTTGGCCAAACACCAAAGAGCAGGTCCTTCAAAAGTAACTATCTCCTCTGACCGGTGTAGCTCAGTGGATAGAGCGTCGGCCTGCAGACTGAAGGATCTCAGGTTCGATTCCGGTCAAGGGCATGTACCTCGGTTGCGGGCACATCCCCAGTGGGAAGTGTGCAGGAGGCAGCTGATGGATATCTCTCTCTCATTGATGTTTCTAACTCTCTATCCTTCCCTCTCCCTTCCTCTCTGTAAAAAATCAATAAAAATATATTAAAAAAAAAAAAAAAAGTAACTGTCTTTAGAGGGCATAAGTAAATAGGTAAGGACTGCCCGCGGACACAGAAGCCAGCCCGCCTTCCGCTCCCTCTCCTCCCAGGTTAGGGCTAACGTTTAGGGTGAAGTGCCCTGGCCGGGGGCTCCCACCCATGTCCACTCCCAGCCCAAAAGCATTTGACTTGGCTCACATCTTCATCGAAATCCATGTAGTTGGACACCACGTGGATGTTGGGGTAGAACACTTTCATCTGCCGGATGATTTCCTCCAGGACGTCGCCGATGCCCGCGGAGAAGATGAAGAGGGGGATGTTGTTTTGGTGGAGGGTGTTGAAGAACGTCTTGTATCCCTCCCTGGAGAGAGAGGAATGGATTCTGAAAGGGCACTGCCTCTACTACCGCTCTGCATTTCCTATTTGGGTCATGTATTTTTAGATTCTAAAACAACATTTTAATTGAGGTATAAAACACACAAAGGAAGTGGTTAAAGGGCACTTCTCTTACGTGCTCAGCTCAGTTAACACTGACCTATGTCTACACCCCTGTGATCACCAACCAGACCCGCGTGCCCCCGTGCCCCTCCCAGTCAGTGCCAGCCTTCCCTATTTTGACTTCATGCCAGTGCCGATTAGCTTTCCTGAACTTCGTATGAACAGGCTCGTGTATTTTTGCTTTTGTCTCTGTATTACACCTGAACCCCGAATAACACAGGGGTGAGAGGTGCTGACCCCTGTGCAATAGGAAATCCATGTACAACCTGTGATGCTCCCAACCCTTGACTACAGCTGTCCCTCAGCATCTGCGGGGAGATTGGTTCTAAGACCCCACGAATACCAACACCCAAGGCTGCTCAAGCCTCTCTCTCTCTCTCTCTCTCTCTCTCTCTTTAAATACATTTTATTGATTTTTTACAGAGAGAAAGGGAGAGGAATAGAGAGCTAGAAACCTTGATGAGAGAGAAACATCGACCAGCTGCCTCTTGCACACCCTCTACCGGGGATGTGCCCGCAACCAATGTACATGCCCTTGACCGGAATCGAACCTGGAACCTTTCAGTCTGCAGATCGACGCTCTACCACTGAGCCAAACCAGTTTTGGCTCAAGTCTCTTATAGAAAACGGCACGGCCCTGGTCGATGTGGCTCAGCTGACTGGGCGTCGTCCCACGCTAGGAAAGGTTGCCGGTTCGATTCCCTGTCAGAGCACATGCCCAGGTTGTGGGCTCGATTCCCAGTGTGGGGCGTGCAGGAGGCAGCTGATCAATGATTCTCTTTCATCACTGATATTTCTATCTCTCTCTCCCTTCCAGAAATAATAAAAATAATATTTATAAATAAGGAAAAATAAAAATTTTTTAATAGTGTAGAACAACACACACACTACCAGCAGACTGCTTCCAAGGAAGTACCCAAGGGTAGGACATTCCTTAGCCACAGCCAGAGAGGGAAAGCAAAACCTTCCCCCTTCATGGCGCCAGGTCTCTCCTAACACTCCCAGCAACTAACTCCTCTCCTCCCTCTTCTCTTTGTGAGCAAACCAGTTCACAATGTTCCCCAGAGCACGCAGCTTACCTCAGCATGGCGTTGGACTCTCTGACCACCTGGGCTATCTGAGACTTCTGAATCTTCTGCTGACACAGGAGATCGTGTGCTTTGGTCCACCTACACACAAACACCCCGCAAACCCCCGATTCAGATCAGCAAGATGACCTTTCCCTTCTCAGGGCCAAGTCCCCTCTGGAAGCACTGACAATGGAAGTGGCCTCCTCCGTTTCCACGGAACCATTTCCTGGAGAACCCTGGCTGTCCTTAAAAAAGGAGGGTGAGCCCGGCATGCATGGCTCGGTTGGTTGGAGCTTCATCCTGTTATACCTAAAGGCTGCAGTTTCGTTTCCCAGTCAAGGCACATACCTGGGTTGTGGGTTCAATCCCCGGTCAGGATATATACAGAAAATGGAACCTGGCTGGCGTGGCTCAGTAGATGGAGCATCGTCCCATGGACTAAGAGGTTCTGGGTTCCATTCCCAGTCAGGGCACATGCCTGGATTGTAGGCACCATCCCCAGTAGGAGGTGTGCAGCAGGCAGCCAATAGATGTGTCTCTCTCATTGATGTTTCTCTCTCTCTCTCTCCCCCCCTCCCTTATTCCTTATCTAAAAATCAATAAAAACATTTTAAAAATAAAGATAACCAATCCATGTTCTCTCTCACTCTCTCCCCGTTCCCCTCGCTCTAGACCAGCGTTCTCAACCTATGAGTCATGACCCCTTTAGGGGCCAAAAGACGCTCTCAAAGGGGTCGCCTAAGACCATTGGAAAACACAGACATTTACATTACAATTCATAACAGTAGCAAAATTACAGTTATGTAGTAGCAACTAAAATAATTTTATGGTTGGGGAACTGTATTAAAGGGTTGTGGCAATAGGAGAACCACTGCTCTAAAATCAATAAGCATATCCTTGGGTGAGGATTAATAAAACACAAAACAAGAGTGTGAGAAGGCAACACGACTTGGACACAAGAGGTAGATGAGTTAAACTGCTGAAGTCAAAGCTCTTCTGAACCCCTTCCTCCGTGAGCTCACTCGGAGAACTGGGGCTCTGCCTTCCAAAGCATGGACTCCCCCACGCCTCGGGGCTTCTAACTCATCCGAGGATGCTTGGCGGGCCACCATGCCAGCAGCTGTCACAGTAGCTCCAGGTGTGTCTGGACAATTGGTTCTACTAGTTGGGCCTGTGACATTCAGTTAAGCATCCAGTAAGTAAGGAAGTCTGTCATCTCATCAAAGCTCTGGGAAACCAGCTCCCCCTCCCACACACACACACACACACACCAGACCACTGCAAGGGCAGGGGCGTTCACCACTCACCACTCCACCATGTGAGGCGCCTTCTCCTTGGCGGTCCGCTGTGGGTCAATCTCAATTGGGTAATACTGGTGAAGGAGCGCCTTCAGCTGGGGCAGCCAAAGAGGAGAAAAGCCATTAGTCTCTCAGGTTTTCCCCAGCAAAGTCCTACTGTTCAGCACAAGAAAAAAAAAATCAGGCCGATGGGCGTGGCTCAGTGGTTGATCTGTGATCTATGAACCAGGAGGTAACGGTTTGATTCCTGGTAGGGGCACATGCCCAGGTTGTGGGCTCAATCCTCAGTAGGGGGCAAGTAGGAGGCAGCTGACCCATGATTCTCTCTCATCATTAATGTTTCTATCTCTCCCTCTCCCTTCCTCTCTGAAATCAATAATGAAATACACACACACACACACACACACACACACACTAATGTGTGTGTGTGGGGGGGGTTAAATGCAAAGATCACACACTGACCAAGACAGAGAGCTCCTGCCCTGATAGATTTGGCTCAGTGGACAGAGTTTCCACCTGCAGACTGACGGGTCCCGGGTTAAATTCTATTCAAGGGCACATGTGTCCTTAGGTAAGTTGCTCTATGTCTCCAAACCCGCTTTCTCATCTGTTAGGTGGAGACAATAATGGATCCAGTCCCCTCTTGAAGTTGTGGGGTTACATAACGAACACTGAAGTCTCTTGTAAACTCTAGAGCTAACTGTGAGCATAACGCCCACAACTCCAACTACCCATTATCATCCTGAGACAGGCCCGAAAGCCAGGACAAGTGGCGCAGGGAACAGACGGCTGAACAGACGGAAGAGCAAAGTACAGCAGATACAGAAGGTCACCTCCCTAGAGATAACGTCTAGGCCTCAGTTACAGTTCAGCTCCAGGCCCAGGAAGGCAGCAAAAGCAGGCGGGGGACCCAGGACCAGCTGCCATGACTAACAGACACCCTGCCTGACACTGGCCCATCGGTGGAGACCAGGACCTGGAGCAGCACACCAAGAAAAGGGATGACTATTCCGCTGAAACCCTCCCTAAGATTCCTGCCTACGAGAGAGAGATAAAAGGACCCAGTGCCAGGAGCCCTCAGGCTCCACCCCCCACCCCCTTCTTGCAACCTGGGCAGCGATGGGCTGGGTGGCAGCAGCAGCTCATCCCGGGCAAACCCCCTAAACCTCCGCAAAGCCCCCTTTTCTCTGACGCCTTTGTGAGCCAAGCAGCCCAGCCTAGGCTCATTTCCCCAGCCCCTCCTTGTTCCGCTGTCCCAGCTTCTTCTTCTTTTTCTTTTTTTTAATATATATTTTATCGCCAAATTTGGTTTGGCTCAGTGGATAGAGCATCGGTCCGAGAACTGGACGGTCCCAGGTTCGATTCCAGTTAAGGGTATGTACCTTGGTTTGTGGGTACATCCCCAGTGGGAGGTGTGCAGGAGGCAGCTGGTCGATGTTTCTCTCATCGATGTTTCTAGCTTTCTACCCCTCTCCCTTCCTCTCTGTAAAAAAAAATCAATAATAAAATATATTAAAAGAATAATAAAAAAATAGAATAAAAAAATAAAATTCACAACACTTTAAATACTATATATATATATATATATATATATATATATATATATATATAAAAATAATTGATTTTTTTTTTTTTTTTTTTTTTTTTTTTTTTTTTTTTTTTTTTTTTACAGAGAGGAAGAGAGAGGAATAGAGAGAGAGAAACATCGATCAGCTGCCTCCTGCACACCCCCAACCGGGGATGTGCCCACAACCAAGGCACATGCCCTTGACCGGAATCGAACCTGGGACCCTTCCGTCCACAGGCCGACGCTCCATTCACTGAGCCAAACCGGTTTTGGTTGTCACCAGCTTTAATAAATGTTCTCAAAATCCACCTGGACTCCGTGTTGTGAAATTTTTCCTGCACTAAGTCAAAAACCCACACACTATGGGTTGGCCCGAGGCATTCCCCTGCCCAGGGTCAGGTCCCCCAGCCAGGAACCATACGTCTTGGCCAACACGGAGAAGCTATCCCAGTGTACTAACACCAGGTCCCCCTGAGCGAAAGGACACCATAAACATTCCCTTCGTCTTCCAAGGTCTGGGAGGCCGGCTGGCCTGGGGGCACCGCATCTGGGCTCTCCCATCCTAAGCAGGAGCCATGCGAAGTAACACAGGACAGCAATGCTGAGCGGAGGAGGGGAGCACTCACCTTCTCCCGGCACTCCTCGCTGATGATCTTGCTGTCGTCCAGAATATCTGCAAAAACACAAAGCTCCCTTCACTCCCCCCTCAGAAGCCATCGCCCTGTCAGGCCCAACAAAGCAAGCTGGCAGGGGACTGACTTACTGTAGGAAGAAGGGCAGGGCTTCCCGTTATAGGCAAACCTGCTCAGGGTCCTGTCAAAGTCAGAAATGACCTGAAATGCAAGAGAGAGATGACGCCTAGGAGGGCTCCTCCTAGGGTGGCCCCGCCGCCGCCGCCTGGAGGAGGATGATGAAAGTCCGAGGGCTCAGCGTCCAGATGGGGGGGTCAAGGAGGGCTCCGGAGAGAGGGAGGCCTAATCCCAGTAGCTCAGCGCTAACCCTCAGGGGGCCCACCCTGGGGGAGGCGGAAGGGGGTGCTAAGAATCACGATCCCTTGGGCTCTTTCAATAGCACCCATCTGGGCGCCCCAGGCCCTTCCTTCAGGGCCCATCTCCCTCCACATTGGCAGTTTCCTGGGGAGCCCGCCGAGCTGGGGAGTGTGGGGAAGGAGGCCCAGGACCTGGGTGGGTGCTTTCTGCCCCATCAGAGGAAGCAGCAAGACCTTGCAGAGCAGGGGGGCTCTTCCTCAAACGGGCGAAGCCCCAGGCCCCGGGCCATTCCTAGGGGCTGAGGGCTTGCAGGTGCCGCAGCCAGGCGGGCGGCTCCTCGGCAGGACGTCCCGCACCCCCCGCCCCCGCCCCCCGAGCCCCGCGGTACCTGCAGGCGGTCCCGCCCGCCCCTGCGGAGGGCGCCCACGATCTCCTGCACCCGCCCGGGCTGCCGCATCAGGACCGTGGCCTTCATCAGGGGGCGCACCTGCCCGAGACCCACAGAACGGTGACCCCGGCGCCGGGCCCGAGGGCAGCGGGGGTGCAGCGGGGGCTCCGGCCGGGCTGGGGCGCTACTGGCCGGGGCGGGCCCGGGCGCCCCGCTGGAGGCCTCGGCGCGCCCGGGGGGTCGGGGCCCGCGCCTCGCGGGCCGGCTCCTCCCGCCTCACCTCCTCCGCCATGGTGCTCGCCGCCGGCCGCCGGGCCGTGGTGCCCGCCCCGCCGCCGAACTGCGCAGGCCCGTCCCGCCCCGGAGCGCACCGGGCGGGGCCTGGGGGGCGGGCCGGGGGCGCTGCGCCCCACGCGGGGGGACACCCTGGTCGGGGGCTCTGTGTTGAAGGTGACGGTGCCAAGGAATTGGGGTCACGGGGTGCCACTCTCTCTAGAGCAAAAACCCCGGCAAGCAAGGTGGCTTCTGGCTTCCAGTTTGCAGGACGGAAAGGCCGCAGGGTTGAGGGGAGGGGAGGGCAGGGGAGAAGGGGCCCAAAGCGATTCTGTTCCCGATCCAGAGGCGGTTCTGGGCCTCCTCAGGAGACAGTGAGTGTTACCTCACGTCCAGAGGCCAGGAGAGGCCTGGGCAGCCGGGCCGAGGTGCAAGGCTCATCCATTCTGCGTCTCCCTTCTGCCTCCTCGGGCCTGGTTTCCATGAACGCGGAGGCTGGGGAGCCAGGGGGGGAGCTGTGGAGGAAGGTGATGGATGCCACGGGGATGCAAAATGGGCAACAGGAACCAGAACTGATTAATAAAAACTCTTACATGCCCCTGACCGGTTTGGCTCAGAGGATAGAGCATCAGCCTGCAGACCGGAGTGTCCCAGGTTCGATTCGGGTCAAGAGCATGTGCCTTGGTTAGGGGCACATCCCCAGTGGGAGGTGTGCAGGAGGCAGCTGGTCGATGTTTCTCTCTCATCGATGTTTCTAACTCTCTATCCCTCTCCCTTCCTCTCTGTAAAAATAAATAAAATATATCTTAAAAAAACCAAACAAACAAACCTCTTACATGGTGTTGGTGGCCATGGTCCTGCTTGGGGTACAAGGACATGGGTGCAGGTGTGGGGTAATCTTTAGCTGGCGGTGCAGTGGGGAGGGGAGAAGGCAGGAGGGCGGGGACTTTAGACGTAATAGGGTTGCCCGACTAAGCCTAAGGGGGAACTGGGCGCATGTGAGCCATCTTGGTTCATGTCACGTTCCCCACCCTGCCACCTGAAGTTTGGGGACACTGTCAGAGCGCTGGGCGCCTTGGTCATCCGAAGAGGCACCATGAGGGCCAGACCTCCTCCTCCTTGGTTTCCAATTGGAGAGAATTCCAGAACCTGAGAGCACAATCCTGCGAGTGATCTCACTCAGGCCCAGGATTCTGGAACTTGGGCTGCCTAATGGACCCTACATGAAAGATGTAGTAGGGAAAAGGAGCGACAGCTGGCTGAAGAGGCCCCCCACAACCCTCCCCGACACCCTCGGAGAACAGCCTCCCTTGGCTGGTCCCAGGGTGCCATGGAGATGGAGAACAAGGCGGCCTCCACACGTTTCCACCAACCTCACATGGAGAGGAAGATGAGTGCGATGACCTGTGAGATCTTCAACGAGCTTAGGCTAGAGGGCAAGCTCTGCGACGTGGTCATCAAGGTCAATGGCTTTGAGTTCAATGCCCACAAGAACATCCTCTGTAGCTGCAGTTCCTACTTTAGGTACCAACAGGGCGGCCGGACTGAGCCTGAGGGGGGGACTGGGTGCATTTTAGACGTAGTTCGTTTCATGTTTCCCACCAGACCGCCTTGAGCTTAGGCACGGGGCTCCAGAGGGTAGCCTGGCTCCTTTGTCACCTGAAGGGGCACAGCTAGGGCCTGATTCTCTTCTCTTTGGCTTTCAATTTGGATTTCAACCAACTCTTGGTGAGCCAGCTGCTTTTTCCTTTTCTCACTCCAACTATACTGGGTTTCCTACTTAAACCTAGATAATACTAGTACTGCTACTTCAACCACCCCTATCCCCCTGGCCCCATAGAGACGAGCTTGAACAGGGTGATCAATTATCAAGGATTGAGGGGATGGGAAGGGGGATGCAGGAGAACCACATAAATATTTATCAGAAGAAAAGAGAGGGGGGCGGGAAGGGGGGTGATTTGTGCCCAAACCATTGTAACCCAGGAAATGGAAGGGCTATTTGGTTCATGAGCTGAAAATGCGTAATCAATTCCAATCAAGATACGATAAATGTGTCCCACCTGTTGCTAAAAATTCTCATTTTGATCTATCGCAGGGTCTATAAAGAGACCAGATAGCGCATGCTGTAAGCTTTGCAGTCTCTCTCACATGCAACTACTCCACTCTGCCTTTATAGAATGGGAAAGCAGCCATAGATAATACTAAATGAAAGGACACTGAAATTTGAATTTATTATAATTTCATTTTTACCCCATTTAAAAAAAATGTAAAAAATATTCTTACCTCGTGGGCAGTACAAAAAGATGACATGGTTGGAATTTGGCTGTATTTACAGACCCCTGCTCTAGAGGAGAATTTTATCTCTAAGCCTGAGACCTCCTAGAAAAAGGAAGCAAAATATTTTATGGAAGGGAATTCTGTCTTATTCAGTACCTAGCTACAGAGTGGAATACTAGTCACTTATTTATTCAATAGCTATTTATTAAGTGCCTATTTTGTGACCAGCACCATAGTGGGTACTGGAAATAAAACAATGAATGAAGAGGTAAACATTCCTGTCCTCATAAAGCTTACCTTCTGGTAGGGAGAAGAGACATTAAATAAATAAAATACATATCAGATTGTAACTGCTAAGAAAAAATAAGATTGCCGGAAAAAATAAGATTTGAAATAGGATTATCACTTTCTGACAAAGTTAAATTTGAGCAAGGACTGCCAGGGAATGAAGGATTGAGAAACAGAGAGATCTGGGCAGAATTCCAGGCAGAAGAAAAAGCAGGTAAAGCCCAAAGATGGAAGCATCTCTGACGTGTTCAAGGAACGTATCAGAGAGGTGTGGCTGGCCCAGATCTCACAGGTTTTTTGTTTTGTTTTTTTTTAAAATATATTTTATTGATTTTTTACAAAGAGGAAGGGAGAGGTATAGAGAGTTAGAAACATCGATGAGAAAGAAACATTGATCAGCTGCCTCCTACACACTCCCCACTGGGGATGTGCACACAACCAAGGTACATGCCGTTGACCGGAATCGAATCTGGGACCTTTCAGTCCACAGGCCGATGCTGTATCCAGAGCCAAACCGGTTTGGGCTCACAGGACTTTTGTAAATAATAATGCCTAATACCACTCCAGCCACCCAGAAAGGCTTTGTATTTTACTCTAAGAAAGAAAGTCAATGGAAGGTTATATATATAATTGATTTTTTACAGAGAGGAAGGGAGAGGGATAGAGAGTTAGAAACATTGATGAGAAACATCGATTCAACTGCCTCCTGCACACTCCCCACTGGGGATGTGCCTGCAACCAAAGCACATGACTTTAACCGGAATCGAACCCCGGACCTTTGAGTCCGCAGGCCAATGCTCTATCCACTGAGCCAAGCTGGTCAGGGCTAGATCCCAATTTTTCCATCCCCAACTGGGAAAAGGATATGGTTATCACGAGGATAAAAGTGACCACAATCAAAGTTCTTGGGAAGGTTCTCTCACCCTCCGTATAAAGCAGCCTGCCCTTCCCCTCTCCTTCCTCTCACCAATTTATTTTCAATGGCTCTTTGGAAAATATCCAAACTCCCCAACAAGAAAAAAGCAGGGAGAACATGGTCGCCTGGAGGGAAATGTTTCAGTGACTGCTCGCTTCTCCCCCTTTTTCCAGAGCTTTGTTTACAAGTGGCTGGAACAACACTGAAAAGAAGGTATACAACATCCCCGGCATCTCCCCCGACATGATGAAGCTGATTATTGAGTATGCGTATACCAGGACCGTGCCCATCACGCCCGACAACGTGGAGAAGCTGCTGGCTGCAGCGGACCAGTTCAACATCATGGGTATCGTCAGGGGTTGCTGCGAGTTCCTCAAGGCAGAGCTGTGTCTGGATAACTGTATCGGCATCTGCAAGTTCACGGACTACTACTACTGCCCGGAACTCAGGCAGAAGGCCTACATGTTCATCCTGCACAACTTCGAGGAGATGGTGAAAGTCTCGGCAGAGTTTCTGGAGCTCTCCGTCATTGAACTGAAGGATATCATCGAGAAAGACGAGCTGAACGTCAAACAGGAAGATGCTGTGTTTGAGGCCATTTTAAAATGGATTGCTCACGACCCCCAAAGCAGGAAGCAGCATATTTCAGTTTTGCTTCCCAAGGTCAAGTGTAATTACTTTTTTTTTTTTTTGTAGGATGCTTTAGTTGACCACTTTTGACTCATTTATCCCAGTCGGGTTGTCCTATAAGAGCTATAGTCAGACGTGTGACAGACTCCAGGGCTGAGTTTAACATATATGTGTACAGAAGGCATCTCCTACTAGTTTCTGGAATTTTGCAATTTTCTTTGCCCTTGACATTGCTAGTTCCTTTTGTCTCAGTTCTTTTGTTTATATTTATTTTTCTTTTTTAGAGAGAGGAAGGGAGACAAACATCAATGTGAGTCGGTTGCCTCCTGCTCGCACGATGACCAGGGTAGCATCTGCAACCTGGGTGTATGCCCTGACCGGGAATCGAACCAGCCACCTTTTGGTGTACGGACGATGCTCCAACCAGCAGAGCCACACCAGCCAGGCCATTTCGCCCCCCCTCCCTCCACCCCACAGTTTTAGTCTTTGACAAAAATTCTCCCTGGCTGTGGGGGGAGAGGGCAAGGCCTTCAAAAGAATTCTAGTATTCTTTTTAACTTTGTCCATTCTGAGTTTCCCTAAACCCTAGGGAGAAACTGTAGTAGTAGCCATTTGATGCTAATTTGTGTTATTTTACATACAGAGACAGATATTCATTTACAGAAAAATTACTTCAACCTTTTTTTGGTCTAGTAGTAGCCTGGTGGTCAACGAATGAGCTAGCTTGCTGATCATTTTCCAGCTCATTCTCAGGATCCAAATGCAAACCACCTCTTAAAAACAGATACTTTATAAGTTGTAAATGTCAACCCAGAACAAAACGCGGCCCTGCTGCAGTTCAAAGGCAGGCCGTAAGGCAGGGGGCTCGGGTTTCCCAGGCCGCCTCGCCTCGCTTTTTTAAATGACTT